CTATGTAACTAGCTAGCAAATAAGTCACACAAAGTAAATGCAATTTAATATTTTTATATTAAGAAATGGAATTAGAAAATGTCAATAAAAGCCATTTTTTTTTAAATGTGCAGTGTTGGATAATATTCAGAATTTAAGAAGTGGCTCCCTTTCAATTCAGCAGTTGGAATACTGACTTGGAATTAGAATGACAGAAAAAGGATTTTATTAAATTAAATTCAAAGAGATTCTACACTGGTAAGTCCATTCTATGAAATAAAGTGTTCTTCCACCATATAATTGTATTATGTTTTGCACATACAGTATGTTGTACTACACAAGCAACTGAAACTGGAACCTTATAGTGCAGAATAGTAATAGTTTAATAATACAGAAAATACATAAGAATATTACACAAAATAAAAGCATTTAGATTTTATATTTTTATATTCTTAAAAAAAATTGAAGATAGAAATATAATTTTAAAAAGTGAGAGAGACTAATCAGGGGATGAGAGAAATATATAAAAAAAACTAAAGCAAAAGAGCTGCAAATTAAAATCTTTTTGTGAAAAAAAAAAAGTATTTCTCCATTTAAAAAATCTGTTTAGACCTCTACATTAACCTATACTATTGTACAGTAAACCTTATGCGGATAGAAAAACACAAAATGGAATACAGGTGGTCTTACCTCAGAAACACAAATAAACTGTCAAGCGTCTTTAGTATTTAATCCATTCGATTAGTCCAGAAATCAACCCAGAATGTTCCCCGCAGCTGTTTAGAAGTCTGCACTAATAATACATCTCTGTTTGTGTTTTGATTGCATTGACACCTAGGACAAATTGAGGCACTTAAGCCTCTACCCTTGAGTCATATGAAAATTTTGACTCTCAAAACAACTTCAGAGCTGTAGTCCTCTTTCCCTATCTCATATGGAAATCTTATGGAAAAACCAAGTAAAGAAAAACATTTGCACTCAACAAAGTCGCCTCGATGCTTTGCAAACTACTTGCCAACAGTCCTACCTCAGGTGCCATCCAGAAGGGCGTTCCGACTGAGGTGTTCCTCCTTAGCCGAGTGTTTGTAAGCTGGGCCGATACCCCTGATGAGAGGAAGAAACACAAACAAAGCATTATGTAAGGTAGTTATCTGTACAGATTCAATGGATGCCTCATGGAATTAAGGAATGTTTTTGGATTGTCTGTAATGCCGTTTAGCCAAGTGACAATGGAAACACAATTTGAATAGAGATAAAAACAAGGTCACAAAGAAAAAAGAATGTGTTGTCTAGGATGCAGTGATCATAGTAACCCAGCACATACCCTTAAGCCTTCCTGACTGAGACTGAAGTCATTATTTACCTAAAATCTTTTTTGAGAGCTGTGGTCACCATTCCCTGAGAGTAGAACGGACATTATGCTATAAGTCATAAGGGTTTCGAAAGACAAGATGTAGCGTAAAGGAAAAATTTTGAAAGTTTCTTACGTGCTCACCAACATCAATGGTATCATAATACTTACATTTGAAATCTGATTGGTCATAGTGAATTTAGGGGACAGTCGTGGCCTAATGGTTAGAGAGTCGGACTTGTAACCCAAAAGTCGTGGGTCACAGTACAGGCAGGAATTGTAGGTGGGGGGAGTGAATGTACAGCGCTCTCTTCCACCTTCAATACCCACGACTGAGGTACCCTTGAGCAAGACACTGAAACCCCAACAGCAAAAATGGCTGCCCACTGCTCCAGGTGTGTGTGTGTGTGAGTGTGTTCTCAACTCACTGCTGTGTGTGTGCACTTGGATGGGTTAAATGCAGAGCACACATTCCGAGTATGACACCATACCATACACATGTCAAGTCACTCACTTCACTTTTAATTGCGACTGGTCTTTTCTATTTTGCATCTATGAAAATTTCCATAGTCAGCAACAGCTAGTGTCTAGTGTCTAGAAGCACAAACTTCAATATGTAAATATGTGTCCTGGGAAACAAGATATTAGAAAACTGGATTTCTACTGTGGAGAAACACAAATTCAATTAAAATCTGTAAATCACATAGAATCTGAAATGTTTAGATTAGAGCAGCTTATGTTAGGCTGCTAAATTTAACTATGAACACATGGTTCATATTTAGCATGTTTTCAAAGTAATCTTCCATCAAATTCTGATCGGATTATAGGTTTTGAATCACCAGTAAACAACCCATTCTTGGCAGTATCAAAACGGATTTGTTGCATTCACAAGACTCACAAACACATTAAATCCACACTACACCAGAGACAAATACAGAAACATGGATTCACATATGCTGTGGGCTGTAAATGGACAATAGATGAGTGAAAAAGAGAGAAAGAGAACTCTTCTGTGGCTGTTCTCTTTCTGCTACATTAGATCTGCTAAGGGCCCCGGGGTCAGTCTTAATAATCATCAAAAATAACACTGCCAATTAGAATATTCATGACAAAGCCACTAAAGCGCCCTCCTCCCCCCCCCCCCCCTCCCTCCTCTCGCTCTTTTTGTCTTTAACGCAGTTTTTTTCCCTTCAGATGAGTCAGTGTGGGGGTTTTATCTGCTCAGCATAGCGTGAGCTCATTCACACGGATAACGCATTAGCACAGCGTGTCTCTGAGCACTCTGAGACGTGGGCACATGGAACCTCTGCATACAGCCGCGGCCCGACAGCCACCCACTCGCCGTGGCTCCATTCCTGACAGTGGGAGACAGATATCGCCCCCAGCATGTCTCCGGCCAGGAACTCAACAAATGCACTCTTTTTGGAAAAATTAGGTTGACAGGGTAAACGGAGCGACGTTCAAGTGAGGTTTGCTTGGTTTGATGCAGACGGAGAATTTAAAAGAATTAATTCCCTGCTTTCACAATATGTTTGGCATCAATCAATACCTTCTCAAATAAATAAATACATACATTTTCTACATTTAAGGTTATACAGTTTAGACAGTCAATTATAAAATAGATAGTTGTGATCCTGAATGCTGATTGGTCAATACTGTTTTCCAAGTTGGCAAGTTGAGTTCAGATAAATGTGACCCTGGACCACAAAAGCAGTCTTAAGTCGCTGGGGTATATTTGTAGAAATAGCCAACAATACATTGTATGGGTCAAACTTATCGATTTTTCTTTTATGCCAAAAATCATTAGGACATTAAGTAAATATCATGTTCCATGAAACTATTTAGTAAATTTCTTACCATAAATATATCAAAACTTAATTTTTGATTAGTAATACACATTGCTAACAACTTCATTTGGACAACTTTAAAGGCGACTTTCTCAATATTTCGATTTATTTTGCACCCTCAGATTCCAGATTTTCAAATAGTTGTATCTCAGCCAAATATCCTATCCTAACAAACCATGCATTAATGGAAAGCTTATTTATTCAGCTTTCAGATGATGTATAAATCTCAATTTCAAAAAATTGACCCTTATGACTGGTTTTGTGGTACAGGGTCACAAATGAGTAAGTAAATAAATAAATATCAAAATAAATCATGTAGGGTTTACTTTAACTTATTTTTCACTGAGAAATTGCTAGTAAATCTAACCAATAATTACAAAGGAACAGCAACTATCACCATTGTATTAAATGTGAAATTGAGGTAGAACGATTGAAATAGTATTTTCTTGTAAGACATACTCCAATATGTTATTTTTTTATTATATTTTTTTATACAGTGTACCATTATTGTGAACAGTTAATTCACACATCCTTCTTTCTTTCTGTTTAATCAAAATGTCATTAACTCAATCTTCCAATCTTCCAAAATGACAGACTTCTCGCTAGTGATGTATGCAGGACTTCTCCAATCATATCGTCCACTTTTTTTAGTTGACTGCAAGCTCATATTCAGATCTGCCTCCATCCAATCAGCAACCGATAAATAGAACCAAGTCCCCGCCCCACATCTTTTTCTTCCTTAATTTCCCATTTCACTAGGATGTACTTCACACTTCGATCTGTTGCTGCTTCAGTTCCACTGCGACTTCAAAGAACACATTTCTTTAACATAAATAGATAAAGACATAATCAAAAATCTGAGTTGCACTGAGGCACTTTACAATGGAAACAAACTGGGGACAATCTCTAAATGTTGAAAAATACTGTTTCAATAGCATAGCCACAAGACAAAAACAGCGATTTTAGTTAACTCATTAGCATTTTCTATCCAGTGTTGTATATTATAATTGCTATAAGGCCCTCAATGATTTGCTGTATTGTGAATACAGTCATAGCTGAAGTGGTTTGCATGCCAAGCCAAACAATGATGTTTAACTAGTTTAGTCAAAACATAACACTGCCTCTCTTTCCTTTTTGCTGAACTGGCCATATTGATAGGCTTTTTACACTTTGATAACATCAGCTAGTTGATGATAATATAATAATCTGGCAAAGAGAAAAGCATGTTAAAAACACCATACGTGAAATATGTTGTAAGATAAAACAGGTATGGCATTCATTTTTTTAGGTTCATGACTCTTGTTAGCATATTAGTATAAAATATGATTGTTGTACTCCATATGAACGCAGCGTCCTTCAAGCCAGTCTGAAGTGAAGACAGGGTATATGATATGGTTATTAGGCTTCCACAAATGATATGCAAATTGGGAATGATTTGTTTGGATTAGGACACAAACCACTCCATGGTTTGAAAAATATGACTTTCTTTCCTGTCTTGATATATTTTTCAAGGCAGGACATAGTGCACTTTTTTAACTACTACAAAATTATGCAGGGGGGAAATAATACATTTTTTGTAATCTAAATCTTTTAGGAGTATACTAACGCAAATGGCCTCAACTAAAAGCTACAAACATAAGATTTTTCAAGAGGCCTTTAAAGACCTTTAAAAACATCTCTTTGTGTCATGCTCTAATGCCACATTACCATTTTGCATTTATGTGGTTGCATTAACACTAATCAGCCACTCTGCACACGCTGTTTATGTAAATGCTTCATGTTAAATTATGCAGATTCGAAAACCATATATTTTGAGCAATGGGGTGTTCATGAGAATTATTAGACTATGTTGAATTTATGAGAAGTCCAAGAAATGTTTATACTCAAACACTACAGAGAAAAAAAAAAAAAAAAAACTCTTCCAAACCTGTATGGCTACTTGTATATTGTATGACGAACAGACTGAAATGTAAGTTATTCACTAAAAATCTCACTTGACAGCTGTAGTGACCACTCACTTTCCCTGTAATAAAAAAAAAAACAGCTTGGACATTTTTCCGTAGACAATTCCTGTAAAATAATTTCATATGGGTTTCAAAGAACATGAGGTTAATGGTGACCATTTTCATTGTAAGTTAACTTTTCCATTAGCTCTGCAGTGTAGTGTACTTCAAATATTAAAAGTATTTAAAAAAAAAATATATATATATATCTTTATTACTGTTTCTTAACATTTATGTACATTTAAAAAGTGCATTTTAATGACATCAGTATACAACTTCTACATTACGTACAGTTAATTTTAAATCATTATGTTTTAATAATTGTTTGTCAAGCTTTAAAGTGCACTTATTTTGATGTGTTGACATACCAAATTACATAAAGAACATGATTGTAATTTTTAATAGTGTGTTTGATATTAGATTTCGATATAAATTCATATACTTTACTAATAATATAAATTATAAATTTATAACATACTAAACTGCAACTACATCATTACAAATTTGTAATTTTACATACATTTTAAACTGTTGAATGTAATGACAAGCAATTATGCTAAACTAAAATATAATCTCATTTCTATTGAAACTTGTAGGTCTTGTATTGAAATATATTTGTAATTACACATTTGTAACGATGTAGTTGTGATTTATTAAAATATGTATTAAACTATATTGTTTTTAACCATATTTCAAAGACAATAGAATTAATTATGAAATTAGATATAAAGATGGATACTTTATGGTGTTTTTATAGTGTTTTTGATGGATGGGTCAAAAACACTAGCTAGCAAATTACATTTAATACTCATTTAAACTATAAAACATTTTCATTGATTTGCAATTAACATGCAATGACGTGTCTAAATTAACTAAACATTACATTTCACTTGCACTTAACTATATACTTTTAAATTATATATCCATAATATTAACTCTTTTTAAGAGCATGCCTAAGTGTACTTCTTTTTCACAAAAAGCTTATACCTACAAGACTCTTTTAACAACCACAAACATGATTTTGTTGCTATCATGTTATCAAGGTAACAAAGCAATTTAGTGCATAAAGTGGGCACGTAAGAACATAATGTCCTGAATCCTTCATAGTAGGCCACAGTGATACTCTGTACGCAATGCCTATAAGCTGATGAAATTCTATTGGTCACATTTCTGTGATGTCACTGAGAAGCTCAGTCAATGTCCTTGACAAACTCTGACAGAAAGCTCTTTCTGCCGACAGCAGTTTTGAGTTTCTGGCATGAGTCATCACTCTATCATGCTCTCTCTTCTCTCTCTTTCTCTCTCCGCAGCGCTCACTCCACCTCTCCTCTCTTTCTCTATATGCCCATACCCCTACCCCTCCCTAAAAAGAGGAGGATGTCCTGTTATCTTCCGCGTCCCTTGGATGCAGTCGACTGATTATGGCCTTTATGTGCCTCTGCTCTGTGAGGGGGCTTCAGAGGCTTGGGGGGAGGGGGCAACTATCACCTCTCAGGGGCTAAATGCGGCCTACAGAATAATGTAAGAAGAGATTACATTTAGAGTGGATTTTAGGTTGGGAAACTAATAGTGAAGGGGATGAAGGGAACGTGTGGAGCACAGCAAACATTAGTGTGCCACATCACAAAAGTCTGTGATTGGCTGTTTATTCCCAGGAAAAGCATTTACTGGCTTTCTAAAGGGTTATAAGCTCTCATATGTTGTTCTGGAAGAGGCTCTTAAAAATGCTCCACTTACTGCCTCAATGAAAAGGCCACACGTTTTTTCATGAGTAATGAAAAGAGGCATTCATGAATGGTATGTTTCACTGTTATATTTACATGTATGCTTGGAAATCAAGAGATGGTTTTATTTCGAACTAGTATCGTTTTTGAGAAAATACAGATTAACTGATTTTTTTGACATTTGGCACAATGAATGGTTCTGAAACATCTGCATTTTTCACAGATTAGGACAGATTCATTAAGTAATAAGTCATGAGAGGCAGTGCTATATTGTGAATAGTGAATTGTAAAGTCTACACATACACTGTAATACACTGAGAAATTTAATTCAAAGCATGAGGTTAGGACAACAAAAATGGTGAAGCTGCTAGATGCAGTGGATATTATTGATTGATTGATTGATTTGATACGATACGATACGATATACTATGATCAATATTGAATGATAAATCTTGAGTGAAAGTGAACAAAAAAATTCAAAAGAATAAAACAATTATTATAAAATGGGTAATGACTCCGGATTGAATTAACCACACTGAAAGCCACTGTAAAATATCAATGGTAAAAAATTAAAAACTGGTTGATACAGAGCTGTATCTTCACACAGTATATATATACCTTCATACTATTCAGCCTTCTTTTGAAATCTGAAATGATTTCAGCATTTGACAACAGGCAGCTCAGAGTGGTGAATACAAACCATTCGTCCTTAAATTAGTAAAATAATTGTTCATGCAACTGTTAAGGAAGCAGAACCATGAAGGTGAACTGGAATCATTACATCCTGTATGACTGCATCTCATCATGCAGCTCTGTTTTAACACACTCTATTTAAGAGAGCTTCATTTGGTTAAGAAAAGCTAGAAGCAAATCATTAGTAACTGAAAGCAGACAATATCCTCTGTCCCAATGACATGACGCCAGACAGGGGCTTTAATGCAAGCGTGTTAGACATCCATCATCACCGTACATGTAAATGCACTGGTCTTGATGAGAAGAAATAAGTGCTATTCAATTAGCACTGAAATGCTCACATTTAATGGCTTTGACCCGTGTATAAAACACTGTTTTCAAGCTATCCGGGCTCTCACTCACACACAAGCACACACACTCATTCATTCAGGCTTTCTCTTTCACAGCCAGCAGTCCCTTCCCAATAAAATAACAACTTCCTCACCAAAGTCAACCATCTTGATTCCTCCTCCTGTGGTGAGCAGGATGTTGTTGCCCTTGACATCTCGATGGATGGTCTTATTGATGTGTAAATGCTGGAGACCCTTCAGAGACAAGAGCACATGTTACTGACTCAAGCTCACTGAAAAGATACATTTTCGTAAATATTTTAAAATATAGAGGATCGGGGCTTGTTTTGGATTTTTACCATGAGTGCTTCATGTAGGATGTAGGCAATGATGGGTTCCTCCATGCGGTCTCCTCTTTTCAACATACCTTTAGCCAGATCTGTGACAGACCCTCCATTACACAACTGCCAACAATTGAATACATGAAGTCATTAAAAAAATAATAATAACAATAATAATAATAATAAAACATGTAAACATATAGAGAGCACCCTGTTATATATAATATTTCTATTTCTGGTTAAAATAAATAAATAAATAAATAAATAAAGAGAGAGAGAGAGAGAGAGAGAGAGAGAGAGAGAGACATTGTATATATATATACAACCTGTTTCTGGTAAAATAATAATAATACTAAAAAAAACATGAATAAAAAATTAATAAATACATTAATTAAAAACATTTATGCAAACACATAGAGAGCAACCTGAAAAAAATAAAGAAAGAAATAGACATTTTTATGCAAACAAAGAATATTTTTATATATGGTAATACAAGTTGTTTCTGATAGATAGATAGATAGATAGATAGATAGATAGATAGATAGATAGATAGATAGATAGATCTATTTTCCCCTTTCATCAAGCAGACCAAACAGGTCAAATAATAGGTTCCTCATGGAAATGCTGAAATTTACAGAGTGGAGTTTACAAAGGTTGCAGCTGTTTGTAATGTACATAGAGATTTTAAATAGTGCAGGGAAGCATGTTTAAAATGCATTAAATTGCATTATAAAATCTAATGCACCGTTTTTATAGCAACAGAATCCTATAAAACTAACTAAGTGTTGATGCTGTGGTTATGATCAATGTTAAATGATTGTCTTCAGTCAGAGAACACAGAGGTGAAAATGGTTCTTTTTTTCTGAAGCAAGCTCTCTTTAAATTACATAAAATTGTCTAGCATGTTGCCATGGCAACAACAATACCCTCTTATTTAGAGCCATTTAAATCGACCGAATGTCAGGGTAGGGGATAAGGCGAGGACTCACTGATGCAGGAGTTGGGATTTTATTAATAAAAAAACAAAAAAAAACAACAACAAAAACTACCCTGTGGGGGAAAAACAGGCTGGCACGACAAGACAAGGCAAGGCAAGGCAGGATCAGGACAAGGCTGACAGGACACAACAGCATGTATGCGATGTACGATGACAAACTTGCATGGGACTGCAAACACAAGGAGAATAAATAGGGAGCAAATGAGGAGGGTAACGAGGGAAACACAAGTGGGGAAAATTAACCAATAGTCAGGTAACAAGATGGGTGGGGTCAAGACAATTGACATGAGAGCACATGGCACACAGGAAACAAAGACAAAAGCCATGTGCTCACACAAAACAAAAAAACAAGCACATGGCCAGCAAAACAATCACAAGCCATGTGCTTGAACAAAACAAGACACGAACACGCAGCTAATGAGAATACTCATAAGCCAAGAAGTAAGTTTACACAAGACAAGACTCATAAGTTCACACAAGACAAGACAGCACGCAGCCAGCGAAAACCAAGCTGCGTGCTACACAGCACAAGACAAATCAGGACATGAAAGCATGCAGTCAATAACACGAGCTGAGTGCAACAACAACACAAGACAACAAGAAAAGCACGAGGTTTGTGTTCGGCCAC